TTTTTAATATTTTTTACTTTTTAATTACAGTTGGCATACAATATTATATTAGTTCCAGGTATACAACATAGTGATTTTAGACTTTATATAACTTATAACTTATGAAGCAATCACCCTGATAAATCTAGTGCCCATTTGACAATGTTAATAGTTATTACAATATTATTGACTATATTTCTTATGCTATACTTTATGTGTCCATCACTATTTTGTAACTACTAATTTGTACTTCTTAATCTCTTCCTCTTTTTCAAATGTCCCCGCAACCCCCTTCCCATCTGGCAACCATCAAAGGGTTCTCTGTATCTGTGAGTTTGTTTCTCCTTTGTTTGTTTGTTTATCTTTTTAGATTCCACATGTAAGTGAAATCATATGGCATTTGTCTTTCTCTGTCTGACTTATTTCACTTAGCATAATACTCTCTAGGCCTATCCATATTATTGCAGATGGCAAGATTTCTTTCTTTTTTATGACTGAGCAATATTCCAGTGTATATATGTACCACTTCTTCTTTATCCATTCATCTATTGATGGACTTTTAAGTTTCTTCCATATCTTGGCTATTGTAAATAATGTTGCATTAACATATGAATGCACATGTAGTGTTTTGGATTACTTTGGATAAATACCCAGAAGTAGGATTACTGTTTTTTTTTTCTGCTGTGTCTCTTGTTATAGACTTTATTTTAAAGTCTATTTTGTCTGGTATAAGTATTGCTACCCTTGCTTTTTGTTTGTTTGTTTCCATTTCATAAAACATCTTTTTCCATTCCTTTATTTTCATTTTGTGTGTTTTTCAATCTGAAGTGTGTCTCTTGTAGGCAGCATATGTAAGGGTCTTGTTTTCTAATTCATTTGGCTGCCCTCTGTCTTTTGATTGGAGCACTTAATCCATTTACGTTTAAAGTAATTGTTGATAGACATGTAGTTACTGCCATTTTATTATTCATATTTTTTATCTTTTTTTTTTTCTTTCTTCTTCTTAAAGAAGTTCCTCCAACATTTTCTGTAATACTAGCTTGGTGGTGATGAATTCTTTTAGCTTTTTCTTGTCTGGGAAACTTTTTATCTGTCCTTCAATTCTAAATGATAGCTTTGCTGGGTAGAGGAATCTTGGGTTATGTCCCTTCTTTTCATCACTTTGAATATCTTGTGAATCCCTTCTAGTCTGGAAGGTTTATGTTGAGAAATCAGCTGATGGTCATATGGGAGCTCCCTTGTAGGTAACTAATTGCTTTTCTCTTGCTGCTTTTAATATTTCTTTGTCCTTAACTTTTGGCATTTTAATTAATTCTGATGTACCTTGATGTGGGCTTCTTTGGGTTTATCTTGTTTGGGATTCTCTTCTTCCTGGGCTTGTATGCCTTTTTCCTTTGCCAGATTAGGGAAGTTTCCATTCTTATTTCTTCAAATAGATATTCAAATTCTTGCTCTCTTCTCCTAGTACTCTTATGATATGAATGTTGGTATTCTTGATGTTGTTCCAGAGGTCCCTTAAACTATCTTCATTTTGTTGAATTCTTTTTTTCTTGATGCTGTGCTGAGTGGGTGTTTTCTGCTGCCTTATTTTCTATCGCTGAATCAATCCTCTGCTTCTTCTACTCTACTGTTAATTCCTCCTAAGGTATTCTTTATTTCACTAATTGTATTTTTTATTTCTTCCTGGTTCCTCTTTGTTTTCTATCTCTTTATTAAAGTTCACACTGAGTTTATCTACTCTTCCCCTAAGATCATTGAGCACCTGTTTAACCAGTGTTTTGAACTCTGCACCTTATACATTGCTTGTTTTCACTTTGTTGTGTTCTTTTCCTGGAACTTTGTTCTGCTCTTTCATTTACGGCATTTTTCTTTATCTCCTATTTTGGCTGCCTCCTTGTGTTTCTATGTATTAGGTAGAGCTGCTTTGTCTCCCAGTATTAATAGATTGGACTTCTGTAGTAGGTGTCCTAAGGGTCCCAGTGGCACAATCTCCCTAGTCACCCGAACCGGTGTGCTTCAGGTTTGTCCCTTATATAAGTTGTGCATGTCCTCTAATGGTAGTTGATGTTGTGGTTGCTGTTTTCACATTAATGAGAGGACCTGACCCTCAGGATGATTGGTTTTGAGGACTTGTTGGTTAGGGGCTGACCCTATGGAGCAAGATTCACTTTAGCAGGGCTCTGGTGCCTGCCCAGTCTGCAATTTGAGTGTGTCATTCTCGGATGTGGCCTTGGGTGGCGCTCTGACTCAGACCAAAGCTGGCAACCAAGTGTGAAGGTGGGGCCTCCTGGGAGGGGCTGCACCACAGGCCAAGTTCGGCTACAGCCTGTACTCTACCTGGGGACACCTAATGAGTCACCAAGCACATGGCCACCACCCACGCTGGGCTTGGATATGCCTTGATAGGCCAAGCCATAAACTGAGGCTGGCTTCTGCTAGTGCTGGGCTTGAGGCTGCTCAGCAAAAGGCACAGAGTCTCCTGAGGCCAGATGCTGCTTGTTTAGGTTTTGCAAACCTTTGGGAGATTTTAGGAACATCTGCAGCATGAGCCAAGACAGGCCGTTTCTATGGAAATCCACTGGAAGCAGGTTGGTGGGCTCGCAGGTTGGGTGGGGTAGGATCTCAGGGAATTATCTAGGAGGAGCAACCAGTGTTAGCCAGGTTGATAAAGACTCAGATATGGCAACTGCCTGTGTCTGCATGCTGGGTGAGGGGAGGGCTTAACACAGAAACAATGGATACTGCCAACACTTCTGTCTGGGAGAAAGCTGCCTTGCCATCCCTTGCCCTAAAGCAAGACAATTCAGTTCCTCCCCCATATGTCCCTGACACCTTCAGAGCTGTTGCCTCAGTGCTGGAGCTCAGAGCAAGTGAGTCTCTCAGTGAGTAAGTCCATGTGCAGACTCCTCAAGTGGAACATCTGTGACTCCAGCAGCCTCCATCTCACTCAGCCACAATGTCCACTGATTTTCTTAGTCAGAAGTTTTGGAGGTTTCTCTTCCTGGCACTGGAACACTGGGCGGGGGTATCTGGAATGGGGCTGGGACTCCTTGTTTTTCTGTGGGGAACTCTGCAGCTGAGATATCCCTCCTAAATTTCAACTGCCACAGGCAGGTGTGGGACCAACTCATTCTGCATCTCTACTCCTTCTATTGGTCTTAAGGTGGCCTCTTCTGTGTGTCCCCATTTGTAGGACTTCTGTTCAGCTAGGCTTCCAGGTGACTTCCAGTGATGGCTATTCTGTAGTTTAGTTGTAATTTCAAGTGGTTGTGAGAGGAGGCGAGCACAGACTTTACCTATTATCTTGATTGAGAATCCTGAAAGTATGTACCCTTTGACTCCCTTCATCCATTTTGCCTACTTTTGCCTTCTCACTTTGGTTTTTATACCTAAGAAGACTGACAGTGATGACAACAAATGGTGGCATTTTTTCTTTTTGTAGTTAGGAGAATGATGGTATAGCAAGTGTACAAAAATACTTATAACAAAGCACACAAAACACTGAAGATCATTTTATGGTCTTTTGCTATTCCTTGTCCCAGGTATAGGATCCGTTCCTCTATGTCTTATTATAGGACACTCAGAATCTGGAGTGAATGAGTCAGAGGGTAGGTGGACTCTGGATGAGTGCCATCATCTTCCAGCCCCATTCTAAGCATCATCTTAATGTGAGTGCCACAACCTTTCAGGCTTATATGTAAAAATCCTGATGCAATTTTTTTCTTCCCCCAATATTTAATGAATGAGATAGAAGACATGACTCAAAATTCTGTTTGTGACCTTTGTAGTAGTATTTCAGGGTGTTAAAATGGTTTAAGCCTTAATATCCACTTTTTCCTTGGACTTTTTAACCAATCCCTTAACTTCACAAATGAAGGATATTTTGTCAAGTGACAAATATCCAGGAAGCATCTGTCCCTGTTCCTACAAGATGTTGCTGGTTTCTTGTATGTTAAGCATTTGTTTATTTGTTTTTTATTAAACTTATTAAGGTGACATTGGTTAATAAAATTATATAGGTTTCAAGTATACAATTCAATAATACATCTTATGTATATTGTATTGTATGTTCAACATTCAAAGTCAAATCTTTTTCTGTCACCATATATTTGATTCCCCTTATCCTTATCTACCTCTCTCCTCCCCACTTTCCCTCTGGTAACTACTAAACTGTTGTCTGTGCCTATGAGTTTTTTCCCTCTTTAATTCCCCCCTCTCCCACTTCCACCCTTGACCTACAGATGTTGCTGTTTCCCTTAAGAACTGGACCTCTGAAGGTGGGGCATCTCCTACCACACACTTGCAGCTTGCACCCGGGGCCTGGTGCCCCTGGGACCTGGCACCCCTAGCACACTTGGGTGGCCTGGCACACCTGGGGTATGGTCTGTGGCTCCACCTGGGGCACGAACCCAGGACCTTCTGTGTGTAAAGCAGATATGCTAACCACTACACTACAGAGCCACCCCCTGTGCCTATGAGTTTTTGTTTGTGAATGTAATTTATTACTTGGGAATAACATTTTTTTTTCTTTCTTTTTCTCCTTAAGAAATAAACCTACATTGTACTCATCCTCTTATGCTCTGTCCAGATATTTGATATCTCTCAAATTTTCTCACCTCTGAGACTTGGTTATCTGACCTTTCCTGAGTCCCAAGGCAAATAACCCAGACCAAGTTACCGAGCTTCACTGAACCTCATGTTCCACATTTGGGTTAGAGTGAGTATGTACCATTTTATCTCTAAAGTCCAAAGTTGCTCTTAGAATTAGATTGATAATTCTGAGCCAGAGATAAAGAATATGGATGAATGTCCCAGAGGACAATGGACAGGGGTTGGTTGACATTATGAAAAGTTGCATGTAACATATGACAGAATATAGAATTCCTAAATTTTGTAATGTTAGGGCTTTTATGTCCAGTCATTTACATCAGGGAATTTAAAAATCAGAGAAATCTGATTTTTCCTAGTGTCTATTTCATGTTCTTTTCCTTCCTCAATCATCTAGCTGATGTGTCAGCAACATGGAATCAGGAAACCAAACAAGAGTTTCAGAATTTTTACTCCTGGGATTTTCTCAAGACTCAGAGCCTCAACCCATAATATTTGGGCTGTTTCTGTCCATGTTTGTTGTCACCATGCTTGGGAACCTGCTCATCATCCTGGTCATCAGCTCTGACTCCCACCTCCATACTCCTATGTACTTCTTCCTCTCCAACTTGTCTTTTGCTGACATCTGTTTCACCTCTACCACCATCCCAAAGATGCTGGCGAACATCCAGACACAGAGAAAATCCATTACCTATGCAGGGTGCATCACCCAGATGTATTTTTTCATGGTTTTTGGAGGTATGGACACTTTTCTCCTCACTGTGATGGCCTATGACCGATTTGTGGCCATCTGTCACCCCTTGCACTACTCAGTCATCATGAACCCCCGCCTCTGTGGCCTGCTGGTTCTTATGTCCTGGTTCATCAGCTTGACATACTCCCTGATCCAGAGTCTGTTGATGTTGCGGCTGTCCTTTTGTACTAATTGGGTAATTTCACACTTTTACTGTGAAATTGCTCAGGCCCTCATGCTTGCCTGCTCAGACACACTTGTCAATTACATCCTGCTACATATGGTGACTGGCCTTCTTGGCATTGTTCCCTTCTCAGGAATTCTTTTCTCTTATATCCGAATTGTCTCCTCAGTCCTAAGAATCCCATCAGCTGATGGGAAATATAAAGCATTTTCTACCTGTGCATCTCACCTGTTCGTGGTTTCTTTATTCTATGGGACAGGCTTCAGTGTGTATATTGGATCTGATGCATCTTCCTGGAGGGGCATGATTGCCTCAGTGATGTACACTGTGGTCACCCCAATGCTGAACCCCTTCATCTACAGCCTACGGAACAAGGACATCAAGAGGGCTCTACAAAAAGTTCTTGGGAGAACACTCAGTGTTCAGTAATGGGAACACTCATCTTGGGTTTTTGAGCTGACAGTGGTAGCAGCAGTTGTCTAAAGAAATCCCACATCTTAATTACATTGAATTTTGCTTTTCACCGGTCCTCTATAAGTGACTCTGGTTAAGAGTGCCTTGTAAGCGCTTTGTCTCAACCTTTTATGGTGACTCCTCTGTTATTCTCAGTTCTACTCTTGTCATCCCTTCCTTTTACTTACTTACTCTACTGTACCTCAGCTTGGATTTCCAGTCCTGCAGGTCGATACCAGCCACTTCAGGTCTTCAGGTACCAACTGGGACAGGTGAATAAGAATTAAAAAATTTATTGAAAATAATTGCTATTTCTTATCAAATTCACTCATTCAACAATATTTATTGAGCACTTTTTGTGTGTCAGGCTGTTGTAGGTATTTGTAATACAGCAGTAAGGAAGGAGAATAAGAACAGATAAGAATCTTTGCCCTCATAGAGCTTAAATCCTCAGAGTTTATCATATCACGTTATAAGTCCAACAGAAAATACACTGATGGATAAATCATTTATTTGGTTATTGGTGAGATTAAACTTTTCTCTACAGTTCACTTAGTGCATTTCCAAAATAAGCTATAAAAATGTCTCACTATATTTCACTTACATGTGTACTCTAAAGAACAAAATAAACAAAACGGAAACAAACTCATAGATAATAGAGAATATTTTGAGGGTTGCCAAGTTGAAGGGGGTTAAAAAGGTGGATAAAATGGGAGAAGGGATTAAAAAGTACAAATTCGTAGTTACAAGGTAGTCATGGGATGTAAAGTTCAGAATAAAAAATATAGTTAATAATATTGTAATAACTGTGTATGGTAGATGGATACTAGACTTATCAGGGTCATCACTTGGTAAGTTATATAAATGTATAATCACTATGTTGTACACCTGAAACTAATATAATATTGTGTGCTAACTATAATTAAAAAATAAAAAAATATTAAAAAAATGTATCACTAGAGATAGAAATATTAGATTTGATTGGAAACTAATAAGTTGTTCAGTCTAGTTGCCTAATTTTACAGGTGAATTCACTGAGGCCCAAATATAAGAGACCAGACAGTGATAAAATCTGGCTAAAAAGGGGACATATCTTCAAGTATGGTTTCAGGACAGAGCACTGTATTACAATTCATGAGAGCAGGAATTGAGTCACAAAATTTCCACTCTCCAGGTGTGTGATGCTGAGAGGCTTCAGGTGATATAGAATACGTTAGGACCTGTGAATCTCCTAATATAGCATATTTGTTTTCATATCTTCTGCACCATAAAGAAATTGGACGTTTTAAGTCTTTAGACGATGATGTTTGCCAAGGCAGTGCAGTCAGGAAAGGCAATCATAAATAAGAAATATTAATCTTGGTAAAAATGAATCACTGCCCACTCCAGAATGGAAGGAATCTAACAGAATCAACTTGCCATCAACTGGTGTTTTTGAGGAATATTACCATTTTGAAGAACCATATAACTGGCCTCCAAAAAGAAGGAACCACATCCCCTTTAATATCTAGGATTTGAGTCTGAAAACAGACTTGGGTTTGGAAACTGGAAAAAGAATGATGATTTTCAATTGTGGTAACATCTATCTGACTTTTGCTGACTTGCTCTTGATATTTTTGATTGTCTAAGTCAAACAATATTTTTGATGTCTGCTCATCTATGAAATGTTGCCACCACAACAGTCCCTGTAGGTCATGGAGTTTAGTTAATGAGATCATAGTTAAAAAAAAAAAAGAATTACTAAGTTGAAACAACAATGTAAATTTTGTATACCAATTGATTTAACATTTACGACAGCTGAAAAAACTTGAAACAGATTTATTCTGATTATAGACCTTTGACCTCTCTTTTCTTAGAGCACCTACTTTAGAAAACTTGTCATTGCAGATTTTTTCTTTGCCTTTTTGCAATGTAGATAAATTTTCTTCCAGCCGCCGGTCAGTTTTACAACCCAGGAATGTCTTTCTTAAAGACCTGGGAGCCTTCTCTTTGAAAGGTAATCATCAAGAAAGGGAGCACCCCTATCTCCCAGCTTCTGTAGGAGAGTAGAAGCCTAAATTCAGTAAGTAGCAATTAGCAAACACAGACACCTAATCACATTATTAACCTCCCATTAACATCTTTCAGTACTTTTCCTTTAGCTCACTCTCACTTTAAAAATCTCCCTGACATTTTTTCAG